AGACGGAATATCTAGGATCTACGGATTGGGATGTGATTGTCAGGTCGTCGGCGTATAAGTATATGTTGGTGTTGGGGGGATGTGGGATGTCGGAGTTGTAAATGGTGTATAGGTGTGGGGACAGGACGGTGCCCTGGGGGACACCGGCCTCCATGGGACGGGTGGTGGAAAGGGAATCTTGGATTTGGATGCGGAATTTTCGGTGGTGTAGGTAGGATTTTATGAGTTTGGTAAAGGATATGGGATATTGGTTGGTGAGCATTTTCATCAGTAGGCCTTCATGCCAAACCGTATCGAAGGCCTTTGCGACGTCCAGGAAGACAGCACCAGTGTACTGTCCCCTGTTGAAGGCCGCCGTGATGTGCTCGGTAAGGCGAAGGATTTGGAGTTCAGTGGAGTGATTGGGTCGGAAGGCGAACTGCTCGTCTGGAATGACTTGCAGTTCTTGGGAGTGGGTTCTTAGACGGGTTAGGATAATTTTTTCTACCACTTTGCTCATAGCCGGGAGCAGGCTAATGGGCCGGTAGTTGGATGGGATGGTGTGATCTTTGTTGGGTTTTGGGATAAGGATTATGTTTGCTGTTTTCCAGCGGGTAGGGAAGTGTCTTAGTCTGAGTGTCGCGTTTGTTATGTTTAGTAGGGCCATGAGGCCCTTGTGTGGTAGTCGTTTAAGTGTCGTGTTATGTATATTGTCGGGTCCGGGGGCTTTTCTGTTTTTAAGTCTGCGTATTGTCAGTCTTAGTTCGTCAGGTGTTGCGGGGGGGATTATGTCATTGTCTGGCTCTCTGTTGACGCGTCGGGCCGCGTGCGAACTGTTAATATATATTATTATAACCCGGTTGTGACTGTGTTATTGCAACCCTTTCTATCCAATACTTTACACTAATGACGTCACTCGTCAGTTTGCCAACAGAAGAGGCACGGGGGATCACTGATCAGTAGACAGTAATGCATGAAATGGAAGGCAACTCATAATACATTAGCGACCTTGCCCCACCCTGGCACCCTCACCTTATGTTTTATGTTTACATTTTTTACAAGTGGGTGTACAGGTATACAAATGAAACACGAATTTATTGCATCAGTATTAAAAGCATTTAAATTTGTTAATTCTATTGTATTTTAATGAAAACCTTTTTTCAAAATGTTAATCGTAATGTTGGTACCTCTATTTATCATCGCAATACTTGTTAAATTTTTGAAACCCCAAAAGAAGTTATCAATTGAAGGTAAACATGTGGTTGTTACTGGTGGTTCTAGTGGTATTGGGAAGTCTGTTGCAATTTTAGCAGCGCAAAAAGGAGCTCATGTAACAATATTAGCAAGAAATATTGATAAACTGTCTGAGGCACAGCAAGAAATAAAGAAACATTGCGCCAATGAAGAACTAATTATTAGTAAAGTGTCTGTAGATGTAGCTAATTATGAAGATGTTGAAAATAACTTATGTGAAGTAGAAGAAATTGTAGGACCAATATATATGTTAATTAATTGTGCTGGCATGGCAATTTGTAGACAAGTTGAAGATTTTACCGAACAAGATATTAAAACGCTAATTGAAGTAAATTTTTTGGGAACATTGTATCCAATTAAAGCAATTGTACCAAAATTTAAGCAAAGAAGGGAAGGAATAATTGTGTTAACTGGTTCACAAGTGTCATTAATGGGAATGTATGGTTACTCAGTTTATGCCAGTAGTAAATTTGCATTAAGAGGGCTTGCAGAATCCCTTTTTATGGAAGTTAAACCTTATAATGTCAGTGTAACTCTTGCTTTGCCTCCTGATACTGATACTCCTGGATTTGAAAATGAAAATAAAACAAAACCAGAAGAAACTCACCTTTTATCTAATACTGGAGGCTTGTACAATGCTGATGACGTGGCTAGAAAACTTATAGATGACGCTTTAGTACGTAGCTATATATTAAATTAACTTTTACTATTCAGTGTACGAATTCTGTATGGATAGGCAACTTTGCTGTCCTTTTGTATAAAATTCAAGAAAAGTTATTTTAATTTGCCTTTTAACAAATTTTTTATCAAGTTTTTTGTCATTCACAAAAAGTGTCGCTTCTTAAATGCATGAATTTAATTAGTCAATATTTTTTACCGATATTTGTATTTTGCCTAGCCAATTTGTAGATCTTTAATGAACATAGGTTATATTTTTAATTACTAATAAAAAAATAATGCAAATTAGTAAATCGTATACTCGATGTTATATCACATATACAGGGTGTGCCATTTAACACTCCCACTGCCAATATCTCTGAAATGAAGAAATTTATTTTAGTTCCAGAAGCTGGGGTTGTTAGGTCCCTGGAATAGCTTCAAATTTTAGTTAGAATTGTTATTTTTCTGTATAGATGGCATGGCGATACTAAAAAATTTTTGATTCCTGGAATGTGGAAATGCTGAAAGATCGTTTTGAGTAATTTTTGTAATATAAAGTTTTTCCCAATATTTACTTGTTTTCGAGACATGTCACACAGACAAAATATTCTTTTAAAATATTGTTATAATGGCTTTATTCACGCCACATACTAACTAACAAACCATAAATTATAAAAAAACAAATGACTACAGAAAAAAGAAATTGTACAATGGGAAATCTTTCAAGGGGCAGAGACGAACCGTATTTTATCAAATATTATTAAAAAATTCAGTCATAGGTGGCTCATGTCATTTGTTTAAAATAAAACATATATGACAGGTGACACATATTAGTTTTCCAATAATTACAGTTTTATCAGCTTGCGTCGTTCAATTTAATTATACTAGTTATTAAAATATTTTTATATAATGAATTACTCAAATGAAGATAAATTAGATATGGTATTAATATTTGGCGGAGTACAACAAAATGCTGCTACACGACAGTTATATGCTATATGCTTTCCATTGAGGCCTCAGCCGGATAGGAAAACTTTTGTAAAATGCCAAAATTTACTAAATTATGGTAGTTTTACTAAACCTAAACGATATTGAATTAAAACTGTTAGGAATGATGAGAATACAGCTCAAATTTTACAAATTAATAATAATAATAATGTGTCTTTATTGAGTGTTAATAATAAATACAAATAGAACAGTTGAAAAAGACGGTGAGATTCAACGATTCAACAAATTGCTCTTCCATCTATCGGTCTATTGAATTAAACAATTAAAACAATAAAAATAATCAATGCTAGTTCTGTAATCTACTTATGTATATGAAACGAGACGAAAACAATTATGATGAGATTCATTTCTCATATATACTGGACTTGACCAACTTCCTAAAAGAAATAATATCACTGCAAGATTTAATTGCTCGAGATATAGATAAGTACAGCATTATAACTAAAATATCTGTGAAAGAGTGAGGAGCCATGCTTTGGCACAATACACAGATCATTGTGACGGGTAAAACGAATGTGGATATCTCTCCCCTTTAAAAGTTTATCATGTAAATACTTAGGTGTCTTCGAATTGTCAATTTTGCATATTAGACAAGCCATTCTTAATTGAAAGAGTTCATTTAAATTAAGCCATTTGGATTGTTTAAATTTTGCGCTAATGTGATCAAATTTGTGCAGATTATATGAAAATCTAATACATGCGTTTTGTATTTTTTGTAAGCTTTCCTTATCCTTGTTTAGAAAGGCATAACCTTAATTTGATATCCGATGTTATATAATCCTTATGTATATAGAGTGATCGTAATTTAGCATAGAATTTTTGTATTAAAAAGTTTACATGTTTAGTAAATCTAAGATTCGCATCCGTATATACTCCTAAGTTTTTACAGCAATCAGGTGGACTTACGACACTTCCATTTACAGATATTTTGAACCGAGGGTCCGAACTAAGTAAGTCTTTATTCTTACCAACAACAAGTAGCACAGTTTTCGCACCATTTAAGATCAAACCATTGCCTGAGATACCGATACAATACTATTTATATCATCATTAATTTTTTTAACTGAAAAATCCAAAAGTCTTAACGGAAAGTGAAAATATAATTGAAAGTCATCCGCATATTGATGAGTATTCACATGTTTAACTATATTAGGAAGATCTGCAGTATAAAGTGAAAAAAGCAAAGGGCCCAGTACACTTCCTTGTGACACCTCCATGTCTATATTTATCAGAGCCGAAGAGATTCCATTTAAAAAACTTTTTGGCTCCTTCCAGACAAGTAAGAGTGATAAAAGTTAACAGCACTAGGATCAAGACTGAAATGTCTAAGTTTGGCACACAAAGTGGCATGATGAATTGTATCAAATGCCTTACTATAGTCAAGTAAAACTAAACAAGCTGTTTCACCAATGTCACAGGCTCATCAGTTACATGCAGTAAGGCAAGATCTTGAATTTATCCAAGAGAGTAAGTTGTTCCAAAACAATTTTTTCTAAAATTTTCGAAAAGGTGCAAAGTAGGCTGATCAGATGAAAATGTGTATTAGATGGTTCTGAGTATTTAGGTATAGGAAGAACTATAACATCCTTCCAACATGTTGGAAATGTAGAGGCCATCAAACATTCATTAATAATAAAGGTAACATGATCGAGCAAATGAGGCATAACCAAATTCAACATTCTCTAAAAATAAACTTTTCAGTAATATTTTCAGTAGGTTTTGTCCCTGTAGGCATTAGTAATAAAATTTAAATCAATATTCATCAGTGGCAACTTATTAACAAAAAAATCATTAAACTCATGAGCTTTTGCAGGGAAAGAGGTATCAGAAGTAGAGTTATGGTAAACATTAAGAAATTTCAATGTTTTCCAAAAATTTTCTGAATCGGTTAGAAATTTATGATGTAAGTATCTTCTCTTTTCAGCTTTAACTGCTATATTTACAAAATTTCTGATTTCTTTATACTCCTGCCAGTTAATCTCTGACTTAATCTTTTTGTATTTTAAGTAAGCTTTGTCTCTTAAACTCATCATTAATTTAACATTAGTTGTAAGCCAAGGAGGAGGTTTAGTTATTTTTACAGTTTTGAAGGGTGCATGTCTATCAAATAAAAACGGAACATTTTTATTAAAGTAACTAACCATTTCAACATCGTTTAAATAATAAATGTGATCAAAATTAATTAGATGTAAATCTTCAACAAAAGAACTATAGTCAAAATTAGAAAAATCACGAAAAGTTTTGTATATTGGGGTTTGCTTGTTAACTTTGAAATCTAGTTTACAGCTTACTAAACGATGATCTGAAATACCCTGCATATTTATAACCTCGATATTCGTCATTAAATTTAAATTAGAAGACACAATAAGATCAGTTAGAGTCTTACTCGTTGCTGTCACACGAGTAGAAGATATATGCTGTTGCAAGCCATATTTATTAAAAAGATTATTTAACACAATATGATCCAAATTTAGTTTATCCAAAAAAAAAGTATTAATAATTCTAATTCCCTAAGGCAACTTCAGGCCGAATCTAATATTTCTATAACATCTTGCCGCAGAATTTTGAAAGACAATCACTATTTCCCCTATAAAATTCATCTTGTTCAACATTTAAGATGCTGATGATGAGCAACACCGGTTAGATTTTATAGCTCAGTTATCAGTGCTCTATGAAGAAAGCAGTAATTTACTTAATAATATCTTATGGAGTGATGAAAGTATATTTCACAATAATGGTACGGTAATACGTCACAACTGCCGCTATTGGTCTGACAATAATCTAAGAGTAATGGACCAAACCCGAAATCAAACTTTTGTCCGTAAATGTTTGGTGCGGCATTTTGAATAATTAGACCATATCTTTACTTTAGTTATTTACATTTTCTAAGAAACGAACTACAAAATGTATTGTATAATATTTCCCCTCAACATAGGGTAAATGATTTATGGTTCCAATAGGATGGAGCGCCCCCCACAATACTAATACTGTGCAAGAATACTTAAATCGGAGGTTTCCGTGAAGATTGTTACATACTAATGGAGTTATAAGGTGGCCGGCTCGTTCACTAGATTTGACCCCATTGGATTTTTTCCTATGGGGTCATTTAAAAAACACTATATCTGGACCTTATAGAAGACATGGCAGATTTGTATAATAAAATTTAAGCAGTTACAGCGGCTTTAGATTGTGGCATTTTATTAAGAGCCTGTAATGTCGAACTAACGAGTACATTGTGTACTAATGCTGAAGGACGTAATTTTGAACATTTATTATAATCTTTGTTTTAACTTACTTCAGTAACTACATCTACATCTCTGTTATTATTTTAATTTACTTTGAGTTACTTTTTCTGTAGTTGACAATTTGTTTTTTTATAATTTATTGTTTGTTAGTTAGTATGTGGTGTGAATAAAGTCATTATAACAATATTTTAAAAGAATATTTTGTCAGTGTGATTTAAATAAAATAATAGATTTTCCTGATTTTTCATACATTGCATATTGAAGTCGATATATCTCGAAAACACGTAAATATTGGGAAAAACTTTACATTACAAAAATTACTCAAAATTTAACGATCTTTCAGATGGACTGCATTTTCACATTCCAGGAATCAAAAAATTTTTTAGTATCACCATGCCATTTGTGCAGAAAGATTTGAATTAACAATTCTAACTGCATAGAACGCGAAGCACAATGACTCCATCTGTCTGTCATGCCGACTTCCACTATGCCATTCAAATGGCTACTACGGTGGAAGCGACCTGCTAAAATTTGCCAGGTACTTTGTTGCACGACTGTTGCCTAGAGGGCGAAAACAATTCTAACCAGTGTTGCAAGAAACAACTACACCACAGACTATATGCCCCCTCCCCCCGGCATTGAATTACACTCGCAACACTGAATGTAACAGCTAGGATCGCTCATTAGTTTAACCCACCAGGCATAGACCGGTTTCGGACTTATTAGTCCTTATCAGTGTGTCATAGGTAGGACAACCGAGGAATGATCCAGCAGGAAGCGATCTGCTAAAATTTGCCAGGTACTTTGTTGCACGACTCTCACCTAGAGGGCGCAAACAATTCTAACCAGTGTTGCAAGAAACATACACCGTGGACTATATGCCCCCCCGGCATTGAATTACACTCGCAACACTGAATGTAAAACTGACAAGCGAACCTAGCTGTTACATTCAGTTGTTGCGAGTGTAATTCAATGCCGAGGGGGCATATAGTCCGCGGTGTAGAATTCTAACTGTAATTTGAAGCTATTCAAGGGACCTAGCAACCCCAATTTCCAGAACTAAAATAAATTTCATTTCGGAGATATTGGCAACGGGAGTGTTAAATGACACACCCTGTATTTGTACCGAGTATAGTCCAGTTGCATGAAAGAGTCTATCTTTTCTCCAGATTTAAGAATATTTTTGTATATAAACTTTAAGAAGCTATTTCTTGCCCCAAAAATTTCTATTATAAAAGTGTTATTGGAGTTGAAGGATTAGGTTAAAATTCGATTTATATTTTGTTTCTTACAGTTGAAGAAACAAGAATGCTATTTAGTAAGATACTTTATCTTATCTTACGCCGATATTTCAAATCATCTGCGACCCTCCAATGGGGTTTAAAATTTGAATCTTTTATGGTTTTTTCATCACTACAAAAATCTAATATTTTACTGAAAAAATAGCAAAGGACAGTGAAGTGATTTACATGGCATTTTTTGAATTGCAAATTTTTAACTCGATAAAATGACAATAAAAAAAGCATTAAGAGTTCCATCTCTTTTCGAAGGTTGTAGGCGATTAAAAATATTGGTGTAGGAAATTCCTTGATAAGATAAAGTGACAACCCAAATTACATTCTTCCATGTTTCTCCAATAATTAGGTATAAAAATAAAAACTATTTTATCATATCCCTTTTAAAGGGGTGTAACTCTAATAGCAGACGTTTTTGGTAATAAGTTTATATAGAAGAACCCTCTTATGGCAAAAAATTGCCCTTTAAAGTTGTTTGCAATATTAAGGAAACATTATAAGAGTAAAACAGGAGACTCTTACAGATAACTCTAGCAGCCTCTATGTTTTGAATGAAAAAAGTCAGTGTTCATCTTCGGCAACCCCAATTTTGATAGATAAAAAAAATATTTCTTTAATAAAATATTTTTCACTAATTTAATACTGTATTTTTTTAGGCAAGCCGTTTTTTCAGTTATATTGGATTTGAAAGTTTTATTTTAACAACACTGTGTGTAGGAATGAGTCCTTTTAGTTCTTTCCTAGAACTACTTCTTCAATGTGTTGCATTAGGTCCATTGAGGCTAATTGGAGCATTCTACATCATATACTTTGACAAGATAGTTAAAAAATGTTTTCATAATAAACAAATTAAAAAAGAACAGTAAACTATTGTTTTTAAGAATTTTGTTTTTAATATTTGATTTTCATAGAGTAATATGTCCACTTAACCATGCCGTTGTTGCTAAGTATTTTAATATACTAATATTTTGTATACCTTCAAGTAATTAAAATACTTTAAAATGCATTACTACTGTTATACATGTATTTCTTATAAACCTACACTAATATAAAGATATTGTAGCATTAGTTATTTAAAAAAAAAATTATTATTAGTATTGTGTTTTGAATTATGCAAAATTATATCAGATTTGAATTAAACATGTAAAGTCACCCCTTTTAAACCTAGAGAGATGAGTATGTTTAGAACAAGCATTGACTGTTGACATAACACAGGTATCAACACTAGTAGAACACATTTGCTCATCTCAAGCGACTATTTGCTTTTCAGTCCTTGGCAACTGTTTCAAGGGTGCTAAGTTGCATCACAATGTCTGTTATGTCCAATATCATAGTCCATTGAAATGAAAGCTGAACCTCCATTTTTTCCTCTGTCGATCAAACCTGGGCGCAAATATGTATTCGACCCTCAGGAATCCGAATCCGCAAACATTTTTGACCTTGGTGGTCAGGAAAGGGGTCAAAAGGTCAAAAAACCGTAAAAAATAAGTTTTTTCGCAAATATCTCGTAAACCGCGGCAAGTAGCAAAAAAATAATTGCACCATCGTGTTCCCAGAGAAATTTTACATCGATTTTGTGCTATTGCTTATTAAAATTAAATAAATTTATGTCATGTTTTGGACAATTACCAAGCACGAGAGGGGAAGTGTATATATAGGTATACTCCGGCGGTGAAAGACATGTGGGGCGCGCGCACTCTATGTGTATCGGCTTACTCACGGTGTGTTCATCAACTCCCTGCACGTGTTTTAATATTTGTTCGAATTTCTATATGAACGGTGCTTTTTTACTATTTTGAAGTTTTAGTGTTATAGCAAAATAGAGTATAAGAGTTAAAGTAAGTAAGTAAATGTTGTGTTAAAAATTACAGTATTAATATTTGAATATTAAAGTATTCAAAATTGTAAGATTAAATTGTTTTAATTTTTAAAAATATTAACTTTTATTGTTTTGGGATTTTAATTAGTTTTTATTGAGAAAAATAAGATGTGTTTCATATACAAAATTGAAAAGGAGTCTTCTGAATATTGCTACAATATGTAAAGGCTATAATTTCAATTTTATTTTACTTTTTATATTTGTTGTTTTTCATTTTTGTGATTAAATATTGAGACGACAAAAAATTTTAAATAATTTCTTTAGGATAATCATAGTTATGAT